TTCCTACATTCTGAGACATTGATGAATAAATACATTTCAAGTTTATAGTTCCCCTATTTTACTATGGAAAATTAATATAATGATAATGATGAAGATAATGATGATGAGGACGAAGAGGCAGTGACATATCTAGGTCATGACAGGCCCCTGTGCAAGATTAATTACAGGGCCGTTTGATGTGAATTTACTGTAAGATTTGGGGTTTGATGACATTATCATTGTCATTCAATGTACACAGATGTCGTGCAACAAAATTTATATGACTTAATATTTATATCTCTTTTGTGATATAAATCCTGCAAAATACCAATTCAGAAATTCATTTACTTCTGTTATATTCCTTCATTAAACAAAATATAAAAATAATACAAATGAATAAAAAAAAAATAAAAAGAAAACAAATAAAATAAAAACAAGTAAGAAACACCTACAGAAATGCAAAATCTAAAAACTCCAGTCTGGTGCTAAATGCACCTTAGCTCTTTAAATTGTAAACAACTTAACTTCATATATCCCGGTACTAGAGGAACTTGCCAAGTATTATTGGCAGACTCTCCTTTTCCTCTCTCCAAGTCCCTGGAAGCTCCAGCATTTTAGCATTACAAGAGCCGCATTTGATTGGAATACAATTTTAGGTAATGATGAATGTTTTCAGTTTTTGATTAGAATATTAAAATCAAAGAATACACAATTGAAATGAACACAATAATCAATAATTAATAATAATAATAATCAAAATCGGCTCTAAAAGCTTTATTAAGTCACTGGCTGTTTATTTTTTCAATTAACAATAAAATAGAATTTTCCTTTTTTTTTTTAGAGGACTATGAACGAGCCCCTAATAGTTCCAGGTACAGGAGCTTTGCACTGGCTGCAATACCAATGCCTAATGTACGCCAATGGGAGGAGGTGACGGAAATCGGAACTACTATTTTTGAATGATTTTCTATAACCAAGTTCTCTTAAAATACCTCCAACTGGAACAACTAATAAAGGAGCAACTAGTGAATTCGTCCTACCTGCCAGGTTGTTCTGCTTGGTTATACTATTTGAAACTTCTATATTGCTCTACCGTGAGATTTATAAAAATTATTATCAATCTGGTCATTAACCTTACCTCTCTTTTAGCTAGCAAAACATTAGGGACTATATGGGGGAGGCAGCGGGCTAGCATTAGAACAACACCCTCATCATTTCTGGCAATTTTTGAAACTTCCTCAGCTAGCCTACCCTCTAGAATGCTGTCAGAGTAAGTCAAACTGGTCATGGCTTCTCGGAACGCATCGGAGATGTGCCTGCACGAGGAGTGAAAGGGAAAAAATATTAAGTATTATTCCGCAAAACAATACAAAATTCCTAGGAGTTAGGCATGACATCACCAATTTAACTATGAAAGTGACATCTTATTGATGACTTCTAAATAATAAATGTAAACAGTCAACAATCCATTGTGTTTTAAATATCACATTAATTGCCTCTGAATGATTTTGAACAGAGCAATTTTTTAATATATAAATTTATTGATGAATAGAAAAAATAGGAGTGCATCTTAACTTGGTGGTTAAGATGCTTGCAATTACAACTCAGGGGTCCTTGGGTTCAAATCTTACTGTAGGGTTTCTCTCTCATGACTATAAAAAGAGCTCAATTTCCTAAGCCTTGTAACAGGGACTTAGTTTCTAAAGCATCATTCCATCCTTAAATTTACTAGTTGTGTACTTGCTGCTGGATTTTAAAGGCAATAAATTAAACTAACTCACCTGTTGAGTTTTTCCTCAGCTCTACCTTCGGGCTCCTCTCGCACAAGACTTCTCTCCAGATCGGCACCACCTGTGACATTTCTCTCACTGATATCTCGCCTCTCAAGCGGCTTATCAGAGGTTGTTGGATCCGATGATGTGTCAGAAGCATTCTGTGATGGTGCTGGTGAACCCACTTGGACAATCATGGAGTCTGCCTCAAGACATACATCTATCTGCTGCCCTCTAGAGTCTACAGAGGTAGGTTCATTTTTCTTTGGCGTTGCAACTGGACTAATCTTAGAAGTTGACATTTTTGGTGTATTTAATTCCTCAATGTTTCTATTGAAAAAACGGTACAAATTATTTAAAAAATATTATCAAAATGGTGATCATATCTAATTTAAAATGACGTCTGGTTGATCTACAGATGGAACACCAGAATGTAAGTGGGTGTGGTAGGGCTTCAATTAAAACCTTTCGGAAGTGGTCTAGGGGGCGAATCCCTCAGATACTATGACAATTTAAAGAATGTGTAAGAACTACACATATTATTTTTTCTCCTCAACAGATTTGTTTTTCTCCCCAACAGTATGGGCAGCCCATGTCCCCCTTTCCCCTTACTTTCACTACCACTGTGACAAAAATAAAATTGATTACAGTATACATTTTTCCAAGATTTTTAAAAAAATCTGAGAATCAATACTACTTTAATGTAAATGTGTGAGAATGCACCTTTGATATAAACTTGTGACTTGCGAATATGAGACACTTTGACATCAACTTTTGAGAATGCCCCATTGGCATAAACTTTTGAGTATTCAATGACTAGACACTTTTTATATGTAAACTTGTGAATTTTGAGAATGTTTAACTAAGATGTAAATGTCTGAGTTGTGGGAATGTCACTGTAATGTGAATTTGAGATTCATGAAATGTCACTATTATGTAAACTTGTGATTGCGATAAAACCACTATGATGTAAACTTGTGACTAACAAGAATGGCATAACGATGTGAACTTGACTTGCGGGAAGTCCAACATGATGTTACCTTGTGACTTTGTGACAATGTGACTATGATGTAAACTTTAAACTTGGGAGAATGTCATTATTCTATAAAATTGTGGCTTGAGAAATGGTATGATGGTATTTTGGGATTTGTGAAAATGCCACTTTGTGAGAATGTCACTTTGATATGAACATATACGAATGTCATGTACAATTGTGAGAATGTCACCTTACTGTAAAGATGCTACTGCCTATGTCAACTTGAGGAGATACCACTTAAATTTCCCTTACCTTTCAAGCACTTGGATCTGTGTTTTCAGCATCTCGTTTTCCTCATTTAAGGCAATGACCTGATTATTCAACTTGATCAATTGCTCATCCTTAAAATAATGAGATTTAATAATAACAACATTTCATTACATAGAGCTGAGATTGCTACTAATAACAATTTGCAATGTGTTGTTCTAAAAATTTCTTTATTAAATTTACTTTCTTGTAGAGGGGTGCCATAAAAGTTTTCTTCAAACGAATAATGGTGTTTTATAAATTCTCAATATTATTATACATAAAAGCAACAAATGAATTCAATCCAAGGTTTGTTAGATAATGCTTTGCAGTCACTGCTTCATATAAAAACTCTGTAGTCCAGCGTGATGTTTGTGGAAAACAATGTTACTGTACTTCTGTTTTGGAATATCATAAAGATCATCTATACTTTTATAAAAAAAAGAAATTTCAATAGCAGAAATTTACTCATAATTCATGTTAATCAATATACCCTACACACATCCTTGGTGGTTGAAAAGAGGGAATTAACCACTAATATCTCTTGTAAGCCCATGTAAAATGTTGATCAAGATTTGACATAAATCATTGATGGGGTATGCGGGCTGCGAATAGGACCTCAAATATCTTAACCTGGGATGCATACAGTAGTTTGAATGTATAGTACTGTACAGTACATATTATTAACTGTGTTGTGTGGAAATCTTATCCGAAATAAATTTACTGAATGAATGAATATCTATGTGCAATCTACTGCAAGCAATTCCAAAATAGACAAGTAGCTAAACAACACCAATTGTTTATTCAATAACCCACTGTTTTCAGAAACAACACTGTAGGGATTTAGGCTAGTTTCACTTCTGTATTACATGTATTATAATTCTGGTTTATAAGTTGTGTTTATTCCGTACTATATTACTACAGTACACAACTGGTAATAGTTAAATTTAGCAGTAAAGGTATATTTATTAGTTCTACTTAAAGTATGAACTATAAGGTATTGCAGAGAAAATAATAAAAACAATTTTAAAGATTCATTACTTCAACCTGTTGGTATTATAAAGCATTTCTGTGTAATAGACAATTTTACTATAAAATAAATATTATATAATATTAATAAATATTATATAATAATAAATATTATATAATAATATACTCAAATACATGTTTTAAGTGTGAAAAGAATCAGATCTTAATAACAGTTTGATATATCGGTTCAAAAAAACAAAACCAAGCATGAGAGACCTCGCTTTTAAATAAAACCACACCTGAGAGACCTCCCTCTTGTATTACAGTTTATCAGGGGTGGCTCTAAAATTTGCCAACCCAAAAAGTCTAACAGTGGGCGTCCAAAAAAAAAAATAGTTTGATACATCGGTTGAAAAAAAAAAAAACAAACATACAAACCTGAGAGACCTCTCACTATAGTACTTTATCATGGGTGGCTCTAACATTAATCTGCCGACAAGGGGCTCAAAAAGTTTGACAGTGGGGTCTGAACAAAAAAGGCAGCCTTGGTCAGGCTCCCGAATAAAATTAAAATTTATGACAGGGGTCCACGCTTTCTGATACTAGGGCAATTCCCTGATTCCCCGCTGTCACCGCCACTGAACCGGTCTTTATACTGTAATTCTATTTATGAATTCATTTCATACGGTAGAAACATTTTTTCTGTTATTAGATAAACTTTAATAGCTTACAAATTTATTCCTTTCATCTTCAGCCAGCTGTGCCTGATCTGCTTCCACCTCTTCAGGTTGTTCCTCCAGGACCACATCCTCACCACATCCTGCATCTTTGGTCTCTTTCGCTGGGATAAGATGATTCCCATAGTCTCGATATAGATGGAGAACATCAGGGGGACGAGATATATTTAATCCCACATCATCCCAATCATCAAAATCCTATTAAAAAAATTAAGAAATTTTTGTATTAATATAGCTTAATATTTTCATCACTAAAAAAAGAAAAAAAAATACAATTTTATGATTTTCATCACCACATCCATGATTGCTTTCATTTAACTTACTACCACCGTCCTTCTTAAGACAGCACCCGGGGGTCTCACTCTTAAGTTTTTCTATACAGGTGGGTGCCGCATTTACGGGGTATATTTTCAAGGACTTGGTAGCACAAGTGTGGGAAATATGGGGACGTTGCAGCATTTATTGGCTATACTTGTGAGGACCCACTATTAGTATGCTACAACTATAGCAGTGTACTGTCTAGCAAACTGACATTACAATACTGCAGTTCACACTAAGAATTATGGTAAGAGTTCAAGTTTCTGTCATAAGGTGCTCAATAATCTCAAGGAAAATATCATGACAACTGTAGAATAGATTAAGATTTTACCAGACGGTCTACTTTAATTGATTGACTCCCAATGTTGTAAGAAAAAATTATTCAAATCTGCATTGCTTCTCTCCACCCAGGAGTATAAGGAACAAAATACGCTGAATTATATTTCATGCAGCAAACTATCAAATTTCCCCCATAGGCATTGTTCCAATGACTGGGGTAATAATGCGGAAAAGCGCTCTGTGACTGTAAAAACCTGCATATTATTGTTATTGTTACTATTATTATCTCCGCCAGGAGATATATGTTTTCGTTTAATGTTTGTGTTTGTGTGTGTGTAACGCTTTGCTGTTTCAGTTTTCTTCTTGTGTACAAAATATCTCAAAAATAGCTGCATACTGTATATGTAAATTCCAGACACATGGATTGTTAGGTATGACCCAAGGATGAAGTGATTAAATTTTGGTTACTGTCCGGTTTAGGGTGTGGATGTGAGGACCACTTAAAGGATTTTGTCCTAGACAAGGTATTTTAAAAAACTAATCAACTGACATGAATGAAACTTTCCTGGAAGTTTAAAGAAGTTTATACAAGGATTAAATTATAAATCAAGCGCTGGTCATGATCCAAATTAGGGGGTAAACTTTAGGGTCATTTAAATTTTTGAGGTCCTGTGTGTTTCTTATGTACAAAATATCTTAAAAACAGCTGCACTGGTTTAAATAACAGTTACAAGGATTATTTGGTATACTGTAACCCAAGGATGAGGTGATTAAATTTTGTAGCCAACCGGCATAGGGTGTGCATATGAAGACCACTCAAAGAAAAACATCCCAGACCAGATATTTCAAAAAATAATCAAATGATTCATGATTGAAACCTTTGTGAAAGTTTTAACCAAGTTCAAATGAAGAAATTGTGAAGTGGTAGTGACGATACAAATTCGGGGGTACATGTGAGGGCCATTAGGACCCACACCTAAATATCTCTTGATTGGATCAATGGTTGAAAATGACGCTTTCCATAATAGTTTGTAATGTTTTAATAAAGAAGTGTTTAAATTTTGGTCACGATCTTACGTATGGTGTGGATATGAAGACCATTTAAAGAAAAATTTACTGTATTATCTGTAGGCTGAAACAATAGCTATGATGAATATTTAAATTGTTGTTGTTGTTGTTGGTGTTGTTTATTTATTATTATCTAATAATTCTAATGAAATTACTTCATTTTCAAACAAACACCTCTCAACACAAACTTTTCTTATTATGGTTTCCATTATTAATGCCTCGCGGTTACAACTACTGTACTACTCCAGAAGCCTATGTAGGTGCTGTAGACAAGCATGATGTTTGTGGACAACAATGCAGTTTATTATTTTATTTTTTTTTTGGAACAGTTTAATTAGTTCATCTCAGTACACATAGTTTTATAACAAAGATTTTCAATAGCAGAAATTCTCTCATAATCCATTGTTAGGCAAGACTATTTTTTAAATCATTTTAATAAGATTACTTCATTGTGAAAATAAGACCTCTCAACAACATCTCCATTTTATTTTTTTGCACATTCCATGTGGCAATTCTTAACAATAATCAACAAGGAAATAGATAAAAAAAAAAAAACTGTTAAAATTATTATTATTTATTACTGGTAATACAAAAATGAGTTTTCTTCACCTACTGTAAACTCTATAGCAGGCTTACTGTGTCTCATATATCTCTGTTGTTTTTTTTTATTAAGTTATGGTGTTTGTTTGTTTTTTTTTTAATATTTTTGGAACAGTTAGTTCATCTCAGTACACATAGTTTTATAACGAAGATTTTCAATAGCAGAAATTCTCTCATAATCCATTGTTAGGCAAGACTATTTTTTAAATCATTTTAATAAGATTACTTCATTGTGAAAATAAGACCTCTCAATAACACACAGAAATAGATTAAAAAAAACTGTTAAAATTATTATTATTTATTACTGGTAATACAAAAATGAGTTTTCTTCACCTACTGTAAACTCTATAGCAGGCTTACTGTGTCTCATATATCTCTGTTTTTTTTATCTCTGTTTGTTTGTTTTTTTTTTATATCATTTTTGAAGAGCAACCTGATAGTAATTAATTTTATTCTCTTTGGCAATCCTGTCGTGTTGGTGTAAGATTGCATTACTTACTCTTAAAAATGTTATCAATTTATATCATTGTCTCTGTACTTATTTATGTACATTTTAATGACAAAATAAATGAAATGAAACCAACGTCCTTGGGATTTTAACTCAGAAAATCTTGAAAGTAAAAATTCTGCTTAAGGCTACAGTCACACTACAGACTCAAACCTCTGTCTCTTATACACATCTAGATGTGTATAAGAGACAGCTGTAGTACAGTAGGTAAAATTAAAATTATCATGTGAGAGGACTATTCAGTATGGCAAAATCAATAATTATTCGGTAATTTGACAATGGTGTTTATACAGTATTCTAATCAAACTAAATGCAAACAATATTGAATGGAATGCATATAGAATCATTCTTTTCATGTGGTTTCAACAAATCCTACAAAGCAAACAAATTGACATTGAATAAAACTAGTATCAATCTTTCTCAATTTTTTTTTTCCATACAAATTTAAGGCCAAGTAAAAAAAAAAGTAGTTTCTCTTCCTAATATTTTGAAAAAAGAGAATGAGGGAACTTTTTTTTTTACTCTGAGATGATAAATTCAAGATGATCAATGTTTTTAAACAGCTATCACTTTGTTAATTTTACCAAGTCGACACACTGAAAAAAGCAAATAAGACATGATTCATACCATGTACTGTACCCCCAAAAAATGAATATGAATGAATGAGAGAGGAATTTTACTGATGCGAGTGATGCAATGAGAGAATTTTTATATTTCATAAAGTAAGGGAAAAAAAAAAAAAAAAAATGGTGAGGCAGAGAAAACAGATGCGTGAGGGGACAAGAAACTATAGGATTTTTTGATTTTGCCAAAAATTCAAAATGTAAAAATAGTTTGGGGTCATTCAAGTATTATGTAACACATTTTTTGGCAAATATTGACACCCCTACCCCGTAACACTCTGTAACACTTTTCCAAACCCCCCTCTAAATGTTATGTAACTCTAGAACCACCCCCCCCCCCTTCCGAACATCAACAATTTTAATAAAATCAGATGAACAAGATTTAAAGTATCAGGATAAATGTCCTCCACTACTAATTTGTCCTACACTACAAATTTGTAGGATGTTTTGTTATTTTTTCATATGGTAGTGTAACTTCATTATTTATTGATTTCACAAATTCAACACAACTGTGTTACATTACATTGTATTACACTGATGTAATATGTTTCAATTAAAGTAATATCATACAAGTTTGAATATTTAATATTTCTTCTCTTCCCATGAAAATTAATTTTGTTATGTAACACTTCAAGCAACACCCCCACCCGTATGTCACACACTGTAACATTTTCCACTATACCCCCCCCCCACCTCCCTCTGCATTACATAATACTTGAATGACCCCTTTGACATTTAAAAACAACCTAAATAAAAGTTAGGAAAATTATCTGTTTTGTTATATAAACCAACTTTATCTGAGCAATGATTTCAGCAACTGCTATGGTCACAAAACAGATAATTTTCCTACTATACTTATGGAACAAGATGACATTTTTTGAGAATAATAAATGCATTTATTTAGCCACAAAACAAAAACAAAAAAAGGCCTCATCAATGTGTTTGATAAAACAACATCAATTACTGTAGGCCTATAATTCAACAGAAAAAAAAGAGCAGTGATTTGAGAAAGGTTAAACTGATCTTTGCAATGTGACATTATCAAAGGATTATTAAAAACAAATTAGAATCCAAAAGATACCCATTAACTTTAGCTTTGAAAAAAACATCTTATATCATTATCAACATCCTTCTTTAAATTGGAAATTGTTCATACCACACTGTATATCAAATTAGCCTAAAAAATGTACACATAACAGTCAACTGTCTACAGAATAAAGGCAGTACTGTGTGAAAAGCTAACAGCCAACTAAAATGGAGACTTCAAGATGTTCCAATTTTCATTTTAGGCTACTATGTGTTTTTACGGATTGTACTCAGTGCAAGTCTCTAAAATCCTAGTGCCACCACTGGAGTGGAATATTTAGATTTCAGTTGAAATATTTTGGCATTTTAAAATTTGATAAAAGACAATATTTGCCAAATGAATAACAGCAAATGTTTCCATTCAAATGCTTGCTAATAAAACCATGTACAGTAGTTTGCTATGGGAATGGGCAGATGAATGCAATCAGAGACTGTACTGTAAATGAAAAAAAAAAAATCAATCAATGAATCATAGTATAGCAACCAATTCCAATTACTTACAATACATACTGTTTGTTATTTTGCTAGCTTAAAAGCAGTACTGTACTGCTGTGATCATAGCTGAAACATTTTGTTTGAATATTAATAATATAACTAAATGCTGTGTCTACACCATCAAATTTTATGTCACAAATTTGTGATGCAAATTTGTGATGTGTCCATATATGGGCATGATGATGTCATAATATCCCATAATATGGGTATATCAAATTTATATGTTGGAATAAAACTCGATAATGTGGATAGAACATTGACGCATGTTACCAGCAGGCACATAACCTGGAATGGGGAAGGGGGGCCTTTCTATTGTTTTTTTTTTTTCTATTCTATTATTCTCTGGAAAACCATAACATCTTTTATTTTTGTAATTTACGGAACCAACAAGGTCCAAGTAGGCCTACTGTGGCATTTATTTAGATAGAGCATTGGCGCATGTTGCCAGCAGGCACATAACGTGGAGTGGGGGAGGGGGTGTCTCTCTATTGTTAGGTCTTTTTGAGTGAACACACTTCTCTGGAAAACCATAACATTTTGTAATTTGTAATTTACGGAACCATTTGTTTAAAGTAGGCCTACTGTAGAATTTATTTAAAATGATTAAATATAGTTTAAATATGATAGTGATTTTTGTTCCAAGTACATGTCGTTTCTGGTGTCATAGTGTATACTTTTCTAAGTATACAAGTCAGTATTTTGTCACAGTATTGTAGACTTCTTCTTCTTCCTCCTCTTCTTCTTCTTCTTATGGGCCAACTTCATAATTAAAGGCTACGGCCCAGTAGCACTTCCCTGGAATGGGGAAGGGGGGCCTTTCTATTGTTTTTTTTTTTTCTATTCTATTATTCTCTGGAAAGTATTTACAAGTATTATTTTTTAAGTTTTTTTATTTTTACATCAAACTTTAAATACCCTAGGCTGACCTTTGAAATAAACAGTTCATATTTAGTCCAGAGTCTGGCTGCCACCATGCCGAACACAGTAAGTTAAGGTGCAGATACTAGCCAGCTCACTACGGTCTAGTGGTAGCAGCATCTAATCTAGTTTAGTTGATAATGATAATTTGTTTATATGGAAGTACTGTAGCTTTTGTTGATTACTGTCATACTTGATTTATATTTATACACACTGTTAATTACTTCAGTTAACTATTTGTTGTTAAATGTTGCTTCTAATATCTAGCATACAATGCAATTGATTGATGGAGCACAGTGAATGGATCATGAATAATTCATAATTGAACTAAATGAATACAGAATCAGCACTTAGTGTTCTCTTTAACTCTACTGGTACATTGTAAAGCATCTTCATCATTAATCTACAATACAATTCCTTTGTTACGATAATAATATGCCATACTGTAATTCAAAAAGGCCTCAGTGGTGTATGTACTCTTGGGGATGGAGGAACACCAGTCATCCTTCATTGAACAATTTTGAAGCAAAAAAAACCACTTTATTTTGGGAGTAAGTTCCCCACCCCCCGCTTAATCATTGAGCTGCCCCACTCCCCACCTAATCATCGAGCTCCCCCACTTCACTTCCGTGCCCTTAATCAGACTTTCCCTCATTTCATGACTCTTAAATACGTCACTTTGAGTCCCATGACACTTTCCCCTCCCCTCATCAATTTTGGAAACTTACTCATGTCAATGGATGGTATCGCAAGAAAATAAGATTTACCTGTACAAGACGTACACAATGGATAAATAAAAAATACCTACCTCATTACCTGCTGTAATAATATCATTTCTGTCTTGTGTGGGTGACGGTATTTCACTCTCTAATGGAGAAAACAAAAACATACATAATCCTTAATGGACAATAACACAATGTACTGTATGCATGATTTACAATGTAATCAAATTATTTAAGTTATAATTACAGTAATGTCAGATTTATAACGAGCATAATATTATGACACTATACATGTATAATAATTATTTATACTTTTATACTTGCTTAAACTAAGAGGGTTTACTGCCATAAAATTTATTGTAGAATTATAAACTTTGAACTGTTGAATTTGTCTGTTTTAAATGTTTTGCTGATAATTTGAAATAAACGAGAAAAAATGTCTTTGTCAATATTAAACAGATGTTTAAATTCCTAGTCTTATACTACTGCATACTAGCATATGGTGGAATATCTACCAGCAAATTTAAGGATTTTTGTACTGTAGCATTGTATGATGTCTGTAAATTATTGAAAAAATGTTTGTTTTCCCCAATCTGTAAGTGTGACTTAAGATACTGAATGTGTACAGTACCCTATTTCAAATTCTGGGGTGATTTTCTATATTTAACTCCAAATATACAAACATATTTTAAGAAGTGTAGTGTTTTTTACAATTTCTGGAAGTTTTTGTTAATGTAATACAGTATGCTTAAAAACAAAATGTGGATGCAATAAAATTACATTTTTATAAACCACCACCCTCCCTAAAAAAAAAAAAAAAAAAAAAAAACCCAGCCAAAAAAAAAAAAAAAAAAAAAAAAAAAAAAAAAACAAACAAACAACACTAGGCTTTTATTAATACGGCATGGCAAGTTTTACAATACTGTGTTATAAAGAATACAAATCTTTTGAATTTAGAATTGCCTTGAACTACAGTACACATTATTTCAAAAGATTGCTCTGAATAATATTATCTTTGGATGACTAAGTAATTTATTAAAGAAATAATTTCCTGCATACAATTTAAAATTATAATATTGAATTCCTAGAATATACTACAATGCCAACTAAAGCATCATATGTACAGTACACAGTACACTAGTATAGACTAATTGTCTATTGGTTAAACACTATGAGGAAACGTTCTATAAGATTGAATATTGTATGTATCTACAAATTTACATATTTGATGAGATTAGAGTCTATGTATTCAATCTGATATTATCTGTAAACTCATTATCAAGAGGATCCTGTGGTATTGATATTTTGTGATTTGGAGTGAATGCTTGCATTGCAGTAAAACTTGCAACACTGAGAAGCAGACATTGCAAATTACTTGATCCCGATGTTTAGAAGTTTGGATTGTCCATTTCTTGATATGAAAAGGATTTATACCCACAAAAGTTAAATTATTTCCAGTGGGTCTTCGTTTTTTCTTCTTTTTTTTTTTGTGGTGATATTGGCAGTACATCAGGAGACAATCTGCTACTATTTTCTAAAAGTGTAATCACTGCATTTTTTAACATACAGTAAACATGGGCCACATTACACAAACGACCAACAGCTTAAATATGAGAGATTGAAACTTTCATGGTTATTATATTATTGGAGGGACATTTAATGCCTACATAGCCTTAAATATGGCTACTGTAGTTCAGACTTGCATCTCAAAAAACCAGACTGAAATCCTTCTGATGTCTAGAGAGTATGAATACTTTACTACACTCACAGTATATGCAGGTGAAAGAAATGGTCCTTTGCAATAAGCCTACAGTACCTTCTCCAATATTTATAAAAATGTATTCTCTAAAGCCCCTTTCAAATAGATGTTGCTGCAATATTGCGGTAAGCATGCCTGTATAATAACCGGTCTACAGTATACCCTTTCACACAGCGCCTTTGCTACCGAAATATTGCGGTAATCATAATCATACACTTTTCTGTCTGAAAGGGTTCTATAGAATGGCGTAATATTGGCGGTTTAAATACCACCGTACAATTGTTTTCAACTTTAACCTTGTTTGTTTATGCATGAATGCACACGCCGGCTTGACTGCCGCAATATTGGAGCAGACCATTTCAGAGAGAGCAAGCCAGTAACCGTTACTGTACCACAATATTGCTGAAAATATTACTAGGGTGCAAGGTAGCCTAAATTAAGCCGGCATATTGGCGTATCGACCCTTTCAGACAGAAACCCATGCCGGCGTGCTTGTCGCAATATTGCGGTATTGCAGTTCTGCCTGAAAGGGGCTTTAATTGAATGAACTGTACAACTACAGCAATACATATACTGACTGCAAAGTTTACAATTCATTCAGAAAATATCTAGTTCTGCCAATATTATATTCTTTACTTATCATTATCATTTTAAATTAATAATTAAGAAAAAAAAAAAAACATCGAAAAAAATAAAACAATTCAAGAACAAGCAAAAAATACTTTTTTGGAAAAAAAGGTAAACATTTTCAAATTTCACATAAAAACTACATATGCATGCAGGCATTCAAACACATGGTTCACGTGAAGGCAACATGAAATTAATTGTTAGTTTTATATCCAAAATTTAAAATTATTTGTTGGTGACGGATGGATATTTACTTTTCTATACCTGTAGACTAGCGGTAAATATAAATTTTTTTTTTATTTATAAAAGAATTACAATGCTGTCTGCCATTTGTTTTCACCTATCTTACATGTACAGTAGTCTTTGACAACAATCGTCATTATTTTCCATGGAAATCTTTCTTTTGTAAAGCAATTTAGTAATATTTTTCATAAGGCTCCAAAATTTGATGAGGGCTGATATGTGGAACTAACAACTAATGTGTTACATGGCCTATATAAATTTGTTTTTGTTTGAGCATTCTCATAAAAGGGTAACTATAACAACATACAGTAGAATACAGTAGTATCACTGTAATACAATTTTCTGTACAGATTTTCAAATAAAATTAATTTTGCATGATCAATTTACACAGAGATTGGCAATTATTTCACCCGATTAATTAATATGGTTTATGGTACGATGAATACAGACAATGTACTGTATTTATGACACTGATATTTGTGTTTCAATGTATTCCTTTACAGGAATGTTATAAATTTCAGTGTTCGAAAAAGGCTTGTTCGCTTGTCCCAGCCAACCAAAATGTCCAACGGACAACCAGACCTATAGGGCATCTTGTCCGTGGGACAACCAAAAAAATTTGGACCCAAACCTCAATTCAAGTAATCGTTTTTTGCCTCCCGAACTTTACTGCGTTCATGGGCGCGGCCATTTTAGATTCGCTGAATCACATGTTTTCTCGCGTTTTGGTCTGAGACTTGAACTGAGGCTCCCTCTCGCATGTTACTTATACTGTGGCGGGACCATAGAGATATAATAAGAATACTATAGCGCTAACCGCAATGTATTCGATGTTCGAAATACGCAGAACTGTGTGTGTGTACCATCCAAGATGGCTGCCATAGATTTAGCCAATCAAATTTCGCTAAGCACCATCGTTTGCAATTGCGCCGTCAATTTACTCAGAAAGTTCAGTACAGCTAGTTACCCGTATGTTTGAAACTCGAGCGTTGCAGTGTTTGGGTGTAATGTACAGTGCAAACGATTTTAATTTTCATTCCTTGGTACTTTATTTTTGAATAAGATGCTCCACTTGGCCTCGTTTTGGCTACAATAGTTTAATAATTTGTTATTACCAACTCATTATCATTAATGAAATAATAGTCAGTCAGGGGGCTTATTAATATGTAATAATATGTATACTAAGCCTGAAGGTGGCGCTTTACTACGACGGCCATCTTGGATGGTACACATACATAACTCTGCATTGCTGCGCCATCTTGTCAGCACTCGAGTTGTTTAATAGCTCTATGGGCGGGCCGCACAACAAGGCACTGACTCACGTATCAAGGCAAATGGAGGCGCTCTGACAGTGCTACAAAAGCAGGAGGGAAAACAGTGCAAGGTAAAAATAAAGCAAGCAACAGATAATATACGGACAAGTAAAAACATTTGCAGACAACCAAAGTTTCCATGTAGGTTGTCCGCCGGACAACTTTAAGTTTTTCCTTTAACATTTCGAACACTGAATTTACAGAACAGGCAATACACTGTACAGTAATTGTTTGAAGAAATACAGTATCATAAATTCTGCGGCAGCAGTGAACAGTTAATAGCCTGATGTAGTATTCATAAGTATTTAAGCAGCTGTTTCTAAAATCAATGTTTGGAAAGTGAATTTAACTTGCAAAATGAAAAGATTACCTGCTGCCTCGGTTAAATTGACTCTAAGAGATTTAATTGTTTCTTTGGCCTTTCTTAATTCAAATTCTAAAACGGCGCAGCGTTCGTCGGCCTGATTAATACCATCGTCAGAGTATCGGGCAAAATCCAATGAGTCAAAAGTTGCTACACTGGAGGTACGTTCTAACAGGAAACAAAACAGAAGGTTAGGAAGAAGGAAAGAATCACACACAAAATGATATAAAATAAAAGTGGGTTACAAAGCTACTATAATCACAAAACTATAGTTAACTGTAATTATACAATACCAGGTATTAGAAAAATCATATAAAATGTACAAAGAGGGCTCTTAATCTCTTAATCACGATTTAAGATTCGTAGTCCACACAAAAATCTGGTATGGAAAAATTTGATCAAAAATACTGCCTCATCGGGCGGTGATTCTTTTTTGGTACCTTTTGAACACTGCCACCCTTTAAACATTTTTATGATTTCAGAGTTTAGTCAGATATGAAACAAACACAACCAATGTCCTGTGACTGTAAGAATGACTTTATTCACAAAAATCAAATTTTTTTTCAGTTCAAGGACTGCAAAAAAAAAAAAAAAAAAAAAAATTTGGTGGAGTGAAAATTATTGTGAACTTTATATTTTACTTTGAGTCTAATTTTTTTGTAATCTCAGTACTGACGTGACAGAAATTATTATAATTTTAATACAATTAACAAAACCAATATCTCAAATTGATTAGAAACATTTTTTTTAAGGGATGACAAACAAATACATCAAACTTCAATCATGCAACAACAAATAACAATCTGACATTAAAATTTATATCGACTAAAATGTGGTACCTGTGTAAACCCAAAAATAAATATTTTCATAGCATACATGTACTATAATTATTAAATTTATATGCACAAAATAAGATTTGGAAAAATATTGACTATGTCAAGTGGGTAGGCCTAACTAAGGCCTGAATCTAGAGCCACTACGGTATGACAAGTACAATTTTCAAATACGTAATGGCTAAGATAGAGCCCTGTAAATTACTAAAGGCTAGGAAGGGGAAAATTATTGACTTGGACCAGGCTTGCCATTTATTTATTCTTATACACAGTATTGAGCAGCCCTGGGCCTAAGCCTGACCCTTCAGTTCAGACCAGGGTAGGCATAGTTAAGCAAGTGCCAGTGAGTGGCGGCACCAGGATTTTCCCCACACAGGGCAGGGGCATAGGCCTATCCTCCTTCATAGACAATGTACTACGATGGGAGGGTAAGACTGGTCAGATCACAGGGCCACTAAGAACCATTCAGCAAGCATAGAATAGGTAATTTTCCTAGCTCAGCTAGGTAGGCCTCTAGTGTAGGGCCTACCTAGCCTAGGCCTAGGTTGTTCTTTTATTTTCATTTCAACGTGGCCTGACTGAAAATCATCCTCATGGCGGCAGGCCTTTAATTTTTAATTATATGAATGATCTCTAGCCTAGGGCCAAGTAATGGTCAAGGCTTACTTTTCTATAGCGATTATCAAAGCATACAAAAAAAAGGTAGCTTACGTAAAGGAAGCGTTTGAAGTTCTTTGTATGTATTATCTTGCCTTTCAAAATTTCCAGGGTTAGAAAAGTAATCACGGAGGCGGGGCAGCTCCCGGCCGCTTTCTACCAATTCTGTGTGCAGTTCGAGGGCGGTGAGAACCAGGTTATCTTTAATTAGCTTAGCGGCGACTGAATCCCAGTTTAGTTCATTTGGTTGGGGTGTTAACGTTTCCTTACGAGTAGGTAAATCTTCCTGGCTACCATTTTCATCAGCTTCGATGCAATCTGCAATACTATCTTCGATTACATCCCCATCAACATCGTCTAAAAACGGGTTAAAACTGTCAGCCATGATGATCGAGCTGCGGTGGCGACGAATAAAACATAGGGCATAACCTTTAACCCCACAATCGGTTAAACCCCTAATCACTCATGCATATCATGATATCATCAATAGGATATATAGCGGTGGCGCAAAACCACTAAACTTCTTATGCCCTCACTCTGATAGTTAAAAGATACTGTACATTGTCTGGCGGAAGAAAAAAAAAAGAGGAAGCAAAGGAAAATATCCTTTATTTAATTAAAAATTTTAAATAGTTCATTTATAATTATCAAATAGGTCATTAACTTCCAACACGATGGGAGAAAAAAGTTTTCGTTGATTTACTGACGTTATTTCTATATTAAAAAAAGTATTAGCAGCCAATTTAAGGGACTATGCAAAAGAGTATTCGCCTCTGTGATGGAAGAAATTACTATACTGTAGGTGCGCCATATACACTTTTGACAATCAGCAAACAGTTCTATATTAAAAAAAAAATATTAGCAGCCAATTTAAGGGACTATGCAAAAGAGTATTCTCCTACCGTGATGGAAGAAATTACTATACGGTGGTGCGCCCTATATACTTTTGACAATCAGCAAAAAAAAAAATATATATATATATATATATAATAATAATAAATAAATAAATAAAAGAAGCCTGATTTTACATTTTTGTTCTCCTTAAAAGAGAACTAGCAAAATGATTTTTTGTTCTAGAGTGGATTTTTGATATGCCATTAATAATAGAATCAACCTTAAAATCGTTTTTTGGCTATTTTTTATGAAGTTATAGGCGATTATATACGATTTTACCATGACGTCACTGGCGAAAAAGTAACATAAGATCGTGTAAATAGCGCCGCGTAGGGTTTCCACCGCGTATGGTATCCGCCGCGTACGATCTTTGCGTGCATGCTGTAACAATCACAATTTACAGCCATGGTGTACCTAAATACAACGGTGGTGGAAAACTAGAAGATATAACAGCAGTATGTTCTATTAACTTAAAATTTGTACTCGGTAAAATGGGTTATACTGAGCAGATTTTCACCATTCGAAAGTCGATATAAGGTGCTAATTAACGTTTATTAAGATTTTTGGAAAGAAAATAATGAAATTATGTCTCTAAATAGAAGTTCATATACATCAGCTGAATGTAGTAAAATTGTTTATCAGTGTGATTATTCTGCTCAATAAACAATTTTAATTACTTGTGCAAATATAAAGATGTGGGTAACCCACATCTTTATATACGACTTTTCATGGATCTCGACCTGCTACTGTATGTAGGCCCTCTTTAGGCTAGACGGTTGGAAGCGACGATCGAAGCCAAGGACTTCACTAACTTCCATTCCTCAGTATTAAAATCCTTCCATTCATGGGCACTGTCTAAAACTTTCTTCCAGGTTATCTCTGAAAAGATTGTAACCTTTTCGTCTGCAGTTGGCTCAACATGATTTACACAGGAGCCAGTGAGCTTCCATGACGGCCTAGGCTCGGACATGACACGTTGTCGTTTGTTGTTATTTCGCGACGTCATCAACGAGTACAACATTCATTATCCACCATCAACTAAACTGCTTTAAAGGAAAAAAATTGGTTCGTGTGGGAATCGAACACACAACCTCCATGTTTGCTATTCATTGTCCACCATCAACTAAACTGCCTTAAAAAAAATTTTAAAAAATGGGTCGTGTTGGAATCAAGCCCACGACCTTCGAAAAAAAAAACAAAAAAAAAACTTGCCCCGTGTGGGAATCGAACCCACGATCGCCGAGTTTAATACTCCTGATCCAGCATGACTAAACGGAGGGAGGTAAACCGCGGCCCCTAACCCATATATGCAATAAACCTAGTACCACACCAAGTACCACACCAAGTACCAGTTAGTCAACTCTGGTCCTACTAGAAAAAATTCTTCGTATATATACACTGCAGGTTAGTATTACGCATGGTCATGGTGTCAAAAATGGGCCGTGGGCCAAGAGGGTTTATTTTTTTGTCTAAAAATGTAGAATTAAATTTATGATCGATTTTTGATTGTTACCATCTCCATAACTTACGCACTTTTTTTTAAATAGACAAATCATGTTACTGGAAACTTGGTGGTTGTGTGTTCAATTCCCACACGAACCATATTTTTTAAGGCAGTTTAGTTGGTGGTGAATAATGAATAGCAAACATGGAGGTTGTGTGTTCGATTCCCACACGAACCAACTTTTTTGTTTGTTTTTTGTTTTAAGGCAGTTTATTTGATGGTGGATAATGAATAGCAAACATGGAGGTTGTGTGTTTGATTCCCACACGAACTAATTTTTTTTTCTTTTTTTTTTAAAGGCAGTTTAGTTGATGGTGGATTCCAGACCTCTGAAAATGGCGGAAGCCTATACCAAAGCTTCGCATTTTTGCGAGCATAATGCCTAGAAAGGATTGTTCATTCATTAGTGTTTTGATGGTGATTTTTTTTTTTTCATCCAATGGGAATTCATATTCTGGTTTAATTTAATTAGTTTGTTTATGTTAAAGATCAAGTTTAATTTTTATACTTATGTTTTAATTGTATGTACTAAGGGTCCCAATTGATCAGCTCAGGGTGGATGGACCACCCTCACAACATATTGTTTAAATAAATAAATATATTTTATATAAGAAGAATCTATGAATATTCGGCTTTCCGTTTACTGGGGGAATGAACAACAAGATATTTGACTGGTGAACAGCCGAAATGGCAATTTAAACGAAGTCACTAAAAAGAGGTCAAAATGCAGCCTCTACGCGCGGTGGGCGGTCAGCATAGCACCAATAAAAAAGTGAAAAATGACGGTGACCTTTTTTCAAGCAATACTAAAGCAATCAGAAAAGAATTGCCTTCCAAATGCAGAAGGGAATACAAAAATCCGACATGTATTTGCCAGATACGATTGTGGAAAGACAAAATATGACCTAAAACAGCTGATGTCTTCAGCGTGAAACACTTTTGCTAGGCTATTCTCGCTCTTGAACGATAATGTTGCAAGAAGAACCATTTCGTATTTTTTGGAGCTTTTTTGATTTGTCAATATTTATGGCTGATAATTTTACTTTATTTTGTCAGGTCGAGGTGATTTCACTTTATTTGACAATAAACTGATATTATTTCCACTCACAATAGTGTAGTCGCAATATTACTAATACAAAAGTGAAAGTTAAAAAGGGGAAAAAAGCAAAAATCTCTTGATTGATTTTAAAAGTCGTGTACTTGCAAAAAGACTAATTAATCATTGTTTTAAGTTTGAATATCGTGTTGTTAATAATAATAATAATAGGCCTTATAATAATGTAATATGCCTATTAATAATAATAATAATAATAACAATAATAATATAATAATAATAGGCCTTATAATAACATAATATGCATATTAATAATAATAATAATAATAATAATATTAATAATAATAATAATAATAATAACAATAACAATAACAATAACAATAACAATAATAATAATAATAATAATAATAATAATAATAATAATAATAATAATAATAATAATAATAATAATAATAATAATAATAAAGATTTGTAAAGCGCAAGCATCTCCACCTAAATAGGTGCTGGGCAGTCAAACAAGCAGTAGAGAAAAAACAAGATACATATCACAAGAAGAAAATGTAACAAGACATCATTTTATTACTTTACCTTCTCATTTTTTAACCACAGTTATACCAATGCCTTTCGATATTTCCTTTTCTTTTCTTTCTCTTTCTTACACTTTCCTTTTTTGTCATATATTTCTTAATCTTTTTCTTATTCTTTCTTATGTTTCCTTTTCTTCTTTTTTTGCCTTTCTACATCTCTGTGTTAACACATTTAAGTGCATTATATCGGAGAAAATTTTCACAAGGTAATCTTAATTATCGGCACTAAACTTGATTATAGTTGCACACTCTAGTGTTTAATAATAGAGAAAGCCTTCACTAATTGAATCAATACTAATAAGTATAAGTAAAAAATTTGCAGAATCAGAATTTAATAAGAAGTATATTTCGAGAATATAGCATCTGCAACAGAAAGGTTGTCATCCAAGAAATTTCACAAACCACCACAATGCAAGTTATCAAGCTATCCACAGACTCAACTAAAAGAGGCGCTTCAGCTGGATCCAGTGATAATGTCTTCTTTTTTCTTTTTTTTTTAATATGAACCATGTTTAATGAGGGTGAACCATCCAGCAGAAGCTGATCGTTTTGGACCCTCAAAGTGTGTAAAAACGTATTTCGAGCTGGATAAAGTTCTAACCGATTTTACGGAAATGCATGTTTCTAATGGTTAGAGTAGATAATTCAAAGATGAAAACAGCACTATGGGCGAATTTACATGTAAGTACTTTTAGATACTTAAACCTGGACTCTGGTGAAGGAAGCATATAATGGTCCTCAGTGCTGAGATGGCTTCTTTTAAGAAACTGGATGGGGTTTATGTTGGGACCTAAGTATAGGTGGTACTTTAATTGTTGCAGAGGTTCCAGATACCCTGTGCGTAGGCGTACACTCCAAGAAGAGGAAACGTCTATGGATCTATTGTCACCTGGATGAACATAGAATAGGTTGTTATGTACAGTCGGTTGGTACTATCACTAAATCAAGGACTTTAATTAAGTCATTGACAAATTAATGAGACATGATGTATGTCTACACAATGTGAAAGTGTGATCATTTTTTTGTTGTCTTAGCACAAGAACAACAGAAAAGAGGTTGTTTTGACTATATTTGTGTTTGAATAATGTTTAATTATGCTGATGTTGAAAACAATTAATAACATTAGCAATGGCCTTCATATTTAAAGGTATTACGTGTCCAATTACATTTGCTGTTTTGGAACAATAATTGTTTTATTCAGACGTCCCAAAGGCCGAATCCCAAGACCATCTCACGTGCTCATATCACGGAAATTACCCATGTGGCTCATTCACAAGTAGGCAGTAATTTTGATTGACGATAGTAAGATACACGTGGATCAAAGACATGTAATCTCGAATAGCTTGAATGAGAATAAC